TTCTGAGTACATGTTGGGAAAATAAATTTGAATTATGTTTTTATAGGGCTTAAAAAGAATTGCATACAAATGAACTGAGGATGACATGGAAGAAGTCAAGCCAAGTCCAGCAGAGAAGTCTTTGAAATCTGATCTGCGTGTTTGGGCTTTGTATCTACAATTCAATTACTTTGTGATGTTGGCTTAGTTAAGTTTATTAGTAGAGCAGTTGTACAATACAATGAAATTAACTGTATACTGAGGTTGTCTCACAGGGACTAGCAAAGTGTGGTCTCCATGAATGGTAGGTCTTTTCTCTGGTGCTGTCAGTTCCAGTGTTTGCAAAGGCAGGATGGCTTTGAGCCGGCTGTGGTCATAAGTATTTCTCTGCTCAAGTCTGCTCAGAACTGATCGTTCCTTAGGTTTTTAGTGACTTTGAAATGCATTTCACATATGAAATTCACCTATTTGAAGTGTGTAATCCACGTAAACAGTTTTGTGTATTCACAGAACTGTGCATCATCACAGTCAATTTGTAGAGCATCTCAAAAACCAAACAGGAACCCAAACCCCACTACCAGCCATTCCCCATTCTCAAATGCTCAGGTTTTGATTAGGTTCCCCTAACTCCATTTTTCCCTTAAACTCCTTTTTCCATGGTTTATGGAAAGCATATGACAACAGAAATGCTTGTGTTATAATCTAGACTTTTGCCCCATCTTTGAAAGTGTTCTTTCTGCAGAACTCCTCTGAGTCTTGGAGTATAAGTGTGCACCTCCACATGCAGCCAGACAGTCACCTTTTGACTGCCAAATCAGACCAACGCTTATTGATCCTTGTGCCCAGTATGTCTTGTCCTGTTGTCCCCCACAGAATTAAACCTAGGACCTCATGCAGGGTAGGCAAATGCTCTCCTACCGAGCTATAGCCTCAACCTCTGATCCTTATTTTGTTTGTCCCTTTATAACCACTGACTACTGGCATCTTTTTCTTTGTGGACACTCTTCTCTCCCTTAATGTAGTTTGATGTCTTCCTCTCCTAGGTTCCTGCATGGTGGCTTTATCTTGGTCTACTCAGCTGAGGGCCATCCTGTTTGAATGTGGGTGTTCGCAAAGGTTCTGTCTATAAACTTCCTGCCCTAATGGTGGACAAGATCATTTTTCCATGTTTTTAAGTGATGCCATTTTAATCTTTCCTGTTCCTGTCAGCAGTTTCCTGTTGTTAGCAATTTGTTATTCCTTTGGGAATGTGAGTGTTCTTGTTTCTTTGCTTGTCTAACAACCTTAGATTTTCCTTTTTAAAACTCATTTTTAATGTATTTAATAGCTATAGGATAGGTGTTATTTAGTTAGTGGGGCTTAGGACTGTTTCTTCCTCATTTCCCCTCCTAGGTTATTCTATTGAAAACTAGTTGTTACCTGTGGGGGTGGGGGGTGTATGTGACATATATTTTGGAAATTTAGTCTTTAAAACAGGTGTTGTTTTTTTTTTTTTTTTTTGGTCTTTTTGAGACAGAGTCTTCCTATAGCCCCAGCTGGCCTGGAACTCACTATGTAGACCAGGCTGGCCTTGAACTCACAAAGAACCACCTGCCTCTGCCTCCCGAGTGCTGGGATTAAAGGTGTGCACCACCACGCCCAGCTTAAAACTTCTTTTGAGTTAGTGTACAGAGGATGGGTTTTATTATGGCATTTTCGTACATGCATACACATACATAAAGTGTAATGACATATACACTTACATGTTGGTGTACCATGTTGTTACTCATCTCCCTCCCCAACTCCTCCCTCAGCCTTCCCTACTGCTCTCATCTGGTCCCCTTCCTCCCACCAAATAGTCCTGCTTTCATGTCACTTGTATTCTGTTACACTCTCTTCCGCCATCTCCCTCCCTTAAAATCTCTTGCTACCGTTGCATGGCCCCCTTTCTACTTTCATGACCTATGCACATAATGAGATTCTACACATGAGAGAATACACAGTATTTTCTGAGTCTAGCTTATTTGGCTTTATGATCTCTATTCCATCCATTTTCCTTCAAATGCCATCATTTCAACTTTATGGCTGAAGAGAATTCTGTTATATATGTGTACCATCATTCATCTGTTGATAGATACCTCTGCTGTTTCTGTTTCTTACCTAATGTGAATATAGCTGGATTGCAAGTATTTCTATAGTATGTTGACTTAGTGTTTTGGGTGTATACCAAAAGTGGTATAGCTAGGTCATATGGTAGTTATGTTTTTACTTTCTTTAAGAAGCCTCAAAAAAGGGGTGGTGGGGCTGGAGAGATGGTTTAGTGGTTAAGAGCACTGGCTGCTCTTGGAGAGGACCCGGGTTTGATTCCCAGCACTCATATGGTGGCTGACAGCTATCTATAACTCCAGTTCCAGAGGATCTGATGTCCTCTTCTGACTTCCATGGGCATTGTATGACACAGGTACACTTACACGCATGTAGGCAGTACACTCATACACATAAAATAATAAATAAAATATTAAAAAAAGAAGCCTCCACACTGATTTTCATAACAGCTGCACAAAATTTGCACTCTCAGAAGCAGTGAATACAGGGTCCCTCTTTCTTCATATCCTTGCTAGTGGCTGTCGGCATGTCATTTATTTTCCTGATGATGGCCATTCTGACTGGGGTGAGATGGAATCTCACAGTTTTAATTTGCATTCCCCTGATGGCTAAGGATGTTGAGGGCTTCTTCAAATAATAATGACAATTTGTGTTCCTTTGCGGGGGAACTATCTATTGGGTTAATCAGTTGAATGGTTTGGGGGCTTTGGGTTTGATTTTTGCAGATCTTTATGTGTCCTCAGTATTAATCAGCTGTCTGGTGTGTAGTTACAAGGCTCTTTTCTTCCATTTTGTATGTTCTCTCTACGGATGATTGCCTCTTGTGAAGCAAAAGCTTTTTAATTTGATGCAATTCCATGTGTCAGTTCTTGGGTTTATGGAAATTAAATCATAATACATCTTTTCAGTCATAATACTTTATGATCTAATGATTGCCTCAGCTTTTCCCCCCTTTCATAAATTAAAGTAGATTTCTAATTAAATCTACCTCTTTAAGACAGGCTTTCTCTGTGTAGTCCTGGCTGACCTGGAACTTGCCTTGAACTCACAGAGATCCACTTGCCTCTGACTCCCGAGTGTTGGAATTAAAGATGCATGCCACTACATCAGGCAGAAGACATTTTTTTCCCGTGATTTAGTTTTCAAAAATGTTTCAGGCCTTTACAAGAGTAGTCCCTGGAGTGTTGCACAACCATGCGGAAATTAGTGATGTCTCTCCATAGGGGATGGGGGAAAAAAAAAAACAAGAAATGAGAGAAGTGTGAATAAAGCAGTTTTATAGTGATCTTCAGGAACTTGAAACAAGGATCTAAAATAAATCTTTAGTTTATGGGGGGGAAATTTAACTGCTTTTGTAGTTAAGAGATAGCTTTCAGTCTTAATTGAAATTTTTTAATATTTTATTTATTTTTACTATGTGTCCAAGTGTTTGCCTGCATGTATGTGAGTACACCCGTGTCATGCAGTGCTGCAGAGGTCAGAAGATGGTGTTCGACTCCCCTAGAACTGGAGTTAAGGATGGTTCTTACCTGCCATGTGGGTACTGGGAATCAAACCCAGGTCCTCTGCAAGAGCAGTCAGTGCTCCTAACCTCTGAGCCATCTCTCCAGCCCTTGAATTTATCTTGTACTTTATGGTATTAGAAATTTTGGATTTTTGAAAATACTGTCATTGAATAAAAGCCTACAATCCCCAGCATGTGATCTGGAGTGACTCTGGGTCTTCACTTTTCATATTGGGCATTATTGATCACTTTATCCAATCAAATTATGTGCACTTCAGCATCACTTCTGTAAAATATGTAAGAAGAGCTTTTACTTAACTGTCTTGTTGGTTTTCATTTTAAATGAGCATCTGTATTAGCTTTCTGTTGCTGTGGTAAAACACTCTGACCAAAAGCAGCTTGGAGAGGGAGGGTTTATTTCACCTTACAACTTAGTGCCCATCATGGAGGAAGCCAGAGCAGGAACCTAGAGGCACAGACCACGGAGGGACGCTGCTTACTGGCTTGCTCCTCTAGCCTATGCTTAGCCTGCTTTCTTACACAACCCAGGACCACCTGCCCAGGCGTGGCACCACACACAGTGTACAGGGCCTTTCTCACATCACTCAACAATCAAGAAAATGTCTCACAGACATGGCCACAGACTAGCCTAATAGAGGAAATTCCCCAGTTGAGGTTCCCTCTTCCCAGTGTGTCAAATTGATAACGAAACGATCCAGTACGGCATACACCTGCCATTTATTTGCGTCAATAAAACCAAGCATGTTAACAGTTCTTATTTCTTGGTGCCATGTAATTTTCCCCAGTACTTAGAATATATTCTTAGTTCACATAGTATATCTTGCAATTCTGATTTATAGACTAGGAAATAATTTTTGTCTCATGTATAGCATAAAGCAAATTATTTGGGCTTTGACTAAGCCTCCCTGCAAGTTGTAAAGTTTTATATGTGTTAGTTCCACTAATTAATGAATGTGTAGTGGCCCACACTGTGGAATGGCATGGTAGCACCTTCACATGACCTATCCTGCTGGAAGAAGCCTACTGATTGCCACTCCTTTGGCTGAGACGCGATGTGCCTGTAAAAAGAGCTGTTTAGTCCAAATTTCACAATTATTTTTTAGTGTAGACATAGCTCTTGGGGTGTTTGCTCATGAGTAGTGTACACCTTACCTGAGTCTGATTTTGTTTTTGTTTGCTGAAGTAGTCTTTAAGCTGTGTTAAGCACCATTCATGCCTTTCCTGAATTTGCCTGCCTGGTGGAGTCATGAGACCTTATTGGACAGAGGCTGGAATCAGAATTGTGTGCTGGTTCTCTGTGTACAGAAGCAGCCACCATGTTTGGTTAGGGTGTAAGTTGTTAATCAACCCTCTCCTTGTTGTTGTTACTCTTTGTTTTCACCTCGTGGAAACTACCTGCTACTCTTTGTAGATGTCCTGGAGCTTCTCATCGGAGAGTTGCTCTAGAAAGAAGGAAGACTAGTAAAACTCAAACAGAGATGGAGAGTGAAACTGGCCCCACTGTCATCGATCCTTCAGGCACTTCTTCCCCAGGAACAGACTGCTTGGGCCCCGGGATAGGCGCTGTGCCTCTCGAGCGGAACTTGACATCTGCATCTCTTCCTGTGTGTCCGGAGGAGCCTGGCCTGGACAACCCTGCCTTCGAGGAGAGCGCAGGAGCTGACTGTATGTGCACTTCACCCTAGTTTATTTCATCTCTCTTATCATCCACTGTGCTTGCAACATTCATTTTTGTCCTATTTAAACAATTCATTGCATTGGGATATAGTGTACATACCACATCATTCACCCTGTGTACCTGTCTGCAGGTTAGAAACAAAATGTGAGTCTTACCTTGGAAAAAATTATCCTTCCTCCTACTTTCCCCATTGTAATTCCTAGTGTTCACCTGTTTCTTACTGTGTGTGGTCAGAAATATGCTTGTACCTTGGCACAAAAAATCAACAGCATCCACAACAATAAAAACAGGAATAGCTCAAATCAGTCACTGTATTAAATGTATTTTGTTATTTAATTCAGGTTTTAAAAAAAAACACTCGAGTCTTGAAAGATTAAACAGACAAGCTGAGACAGCCAGTGAGTGGTTAGAGTACATTGTGTGAAAACCTATGTCTAGCCCACACATACCTGCAGCCAGACCCTGTGCTATCTGCACACCACATTAAGAGATACACAGAAAGCCTGGGGACATGCTCTCAGATATACCTGTAGTTGATTTCTACAACTAATTTTCTCTTAAAAATTATAAATTATACTTCATATTCAAGTTGCTCTTGCCATGTCTGTGGTGCTTTTTGTCTCCTAAGACTCAGTTCAAGTCCAGCCTCTTAGGAGCTTGATTGGCTTTTCTTGATTCCCCTGGGTTTACATACCAGGATATTTTCTTTCTTCTGCTTGTTCCATAGTCCTGACTTTCCTCCATCAGCTAGGACCAAAGTGGCTTTCTGTTAATGTTTCTTTATCTGATCACTGGGTAGTCCTAGTGATCTGATATATAGTACTTATTTATTAATGATTCACTGGTCGCCTGTGGAAGAGGAAAGTTGTAGATAATTTTTGTAGTTTTTTTTGTCGCAGTTTTTATCTAGTCATTGCATAGGTATTGATCATCTTGCTGTGAGCACAAGATCCCTTGATCCCTTGTTTACTTGAAGAGAATCAGAATGTAAAAATGTTGTTCTTCCTCTCTCATTTGACTTGGCAGCTTTACAACAGCCACTTAGTTTACCAGAAGGAGAAATTACCACCGTTGAGATCCACCGGTCTAATCCATACATTCAGTTAGGAATTAGCATTGTGGGTGGCAATGAGACACCACTGATTAACATTGTCATCCAGGAGGTCTACCGGGATGGGGTCATCGCCAGAGATGGAAGACTCCTCGCTGGAGACCAGATTCTTCAGGTATCAGCTTTATTGTTCTGTTAACTTGAGCCATTGTTCTTAAGTCTAAAAGTTGGAAAATTAAAATGTTGTAGAGCCTGAATTATATAACGATTGTTTTTTGGTTTTTGTTTTTGTTTTCGATTTTGTTTGGAAAGAGTCTTACTATGTAGCCCAGGCTACCTTCCAACTCAGTATGTAGCCCAGGCTAGCCTAGAACCATCAATCCTCTTGTCTCAGCCTCCCAAATGCCAGGATTACAGATGTGCACCCTCACACTCAGCTGATAGTTTTGTTTGTTCTGTATGTAGAACATATCATAGTTTATGTGGAATTTCCTCATGTAGCTGGATTGTGATTCTTATTTTCTTCTCACTTAATTTTCAGTCCCATGTGTGACTGGGCACTCAGTGCTGTGCTCTCTGGGCTTGTTGGACTCTTCTGGCCTAGACTCCATGATGACCATTCCAGGACTGCCTCTGCCCAGCTGAACTTTCCTTACCTGGCTTTATGTCACACCTAGTTCTCAGTCCATCTCTTCCCTGCATTCTGATTGGTCCTTCTCTATACTGATGACTGGACCGTAAAAGAGCTCCACATAGCACTCCCTACTGACGATGCTTTTCTTTCACAATGCTGGGGATTCAGTCCGGGATTGTGCACATGCTAGGCAGGTTCTGTCCCCGAGCTACACCCCAACCTGTGTTACGTTCTTTGTACCACAGAATTTAAGGTGAAGTTCAGCAATCTCATAGTCAATTTAGAGACTCCACAGTGCACCTTCAGCATTCTGACTGTTTTTTAGTAACCCCTTTCTCTTGTCCTTTGTAGAATATTGCCTTTAGGAAGAAATAGGTAATTCACCAAAAAGTACTAGCATGGGACAATTTTCTGTCTTGTTTTGTTACTTGTTTTTTTATTAGAGGACATGTTGACACTGAAAAGATGGAAACAATTAGGTATCCTATTATGTAAAACTGGAGTTTATAGGAAAACTGGCATTTGAATCACTGTGGTAATAGTTGAAGCTCAAAATTTTTTTAAAAAGCATTTCTAGAAGGAAAGAAAAATATTCATGAGCAAGGGGAAAAATGCCTTGTAGGAACCCAAGTACACGGACTCTTCCCTGACCCTGGTGTTCAGTTCTTCCCTATGATCTGCTAGTACCCCCTCCTGCTTCCATTTTCTCAGCTTCACTCTAGTCGAGGCCTTCACCACTGATGAAGGCCTGATGTTGTACAATTAATTCATCAAATACCCTGCCTCCCAGCTCTCCTCCCTGAATTCCAACATGACTACTTGCAGGGTAATAAAACTGTGATCCTGTGTTTGCAAAGGCTTAGAAAGGGTATCTGTCACCAGTACTCAGATGTGAACAGCCAAGGTCCAAGTGCTTCATGCAGCCTGTCTTCATAATCTGAACTCTTCTTTGATGTCTGGCTTACTATCATTTTGTTCATTTTTTTTCAGTGTCTGTAGCTACTGCAGAAGTTGCTGGGGCTACATTTAAAAGTAAAGGTCTGTCCTGCTCTCATAGAACATACAGTCTAGTGGAGGAATTATACATGCCAGTTTTCCTGCTTCCTTTTGGAAAATGAGCTCTCACTTCTCAACCCACCCTTATCTTGTGATCCAGTTTGTACACTTCATCCTGGAAAGTTTGTTCAGCCATTCCCACATTGACCCTACCTCACTTGATTTTATAGTAGGGTTTGTTGCTTTTTTCATTTTCCATTGTGGTGAAGTCCTTAAATATTTTAACCATGTGTGCATAGTCTTTCTCTGACAATTGCAGCAGCCCTAATGGTATGTTTACATAAGTACAGATTTGTCACAGCATGACAGAGAGGAAGTATTGCAGGATCAATAGAAAACTGAATTTGGGAGCTGGAGAGATGGCTCAGCGGTTTAGAGCACTGACTGCTCTTGCAGAGGACCTGGGTTTGATTCCCAGCACCCACATAGCGGCTGCGAACCATCCCTAACTCCAGTTCCACGGGAATCCAAAGTCCGTTTCTGACCTCTGTGGCATTGCACAACACGGATGTACTCACAACACACTCATACACATAAAATAAAAATATAAATAAAATATTTTTTAAAGTGAATTTGGATATGACATCCTGTTGAGAGTAGTTTTCTCCTGAATTAAAACAAAACTTGGAACCTTTAGAAACTTCAACTCTCTAGTGGAAATCTCCAGATGTAAGGATGAGGGTAGGGCAGAGTACAGGGCAGCTGGGATTGGTCTTTTCATTGGAGCTCCTTGGCCTTGATTTGCACATTCACTTGACTGTGTTATTTCTTCATTAATCCTCATGTCCCAAACCCTTCCTTCATTGCCCCTGGTAAGAATGAGACAGACTGAACTTTTGAATTGTTTTTGAAATCATGTTTCTGCTCTGTCGTATCTATGCACTGCATTTATGTTAGTACTCTAGCTGCACAAGGCTGGCACAACTTTGAGGATGCTTTACCTGTATTCCTCACTCCTGGCTCCTGTCCTGTTGTATGTAGAGGGACTCTTAAAGCTCCCTCTAAGATCTCTTGATACCTTGGTGGTCAAGAGCAGGAGAGCCAAGGAGCCCCTTTTTCAGTCTATGTAATATTCTCTCTTCATACCTAGCCTTTCAAGCAGCAATTTAAGTATATACTTTGTCTGTTTTTTTTAACATAGTATATCAATTTGAAAATCCCTGAGTAGTAAGTGGTTCATTTGCAGACCATAGAGCTACACTGTGTTTTTGTTTTAGTAATCCATACTCAGTTAATAATGATTGAGTGATTTTGGTTTTCTCACATTAATATTATATTAATATATGGAGAAATATACACATGTTCAATGAAATAGCCTCTTTGCAAAGGAAAACTCTATGCCCCCAGGCCATATGCAATATTCAGAGATTCATATGCAACCTTTTGAGAATTTTTAAAGGGGAAAAGATGGTTTTTTGTAAATTTTATCAGTGTTATTAAAAGTTATACAGCTTTTAGAACATTAAAAAGAAGCACTTTTAGTTTGATCAAAAGCAGCAATTTAGGGACTGGAAAGATGGCTCAGCAGTTAAGAGCACTGGCTGTTCTTGCAGAGGACCTGGGTTTGGTTCCCAGCACCCACATGGCAGCTAACAACTGTCCGTAACTCCAGTTCCAGAGGATCCAATGCCCTCATCTGACTTCCATGAGCACTGTATGGCACTAGTGCATTTACATGCATACACATAAATACACATAACAAAATATTTTTTAAAAGATAGCAATTTACGTTTTTTAGTTTTGAAGGAAAATAGTCATTTATTGGTCATGTTGGTTAACAACAGCAACCACAACAAAAAACCCCACATTTGATTAAAAACGTGATAGAGTTTACTCTTTATGCTATTTTTACAAAGTCAAATTGTATTTTACAGTATCTGTTTTCTCTGAATTTCACTGGCAGCCATGCATTAACAGAGAATGAGTCTTTTCATAGTAGGATACTCCCCAACTTGCTCTTCAAAGAAATAGGTTGCATGCTTGTATGTATTTGAAAAACAGAGCTACATTTGAGGCAGACATTTTTGTAAAGCCCCTTGCGATTGTCTAGAGATTAAAAATGTGAACCTAGCAAGTTACCTTGTAGCAGAACAGCTAAAATGATGACCAACCAGTGAGTCCCTGCCAGCCTGGCTTTCCGGAAGTTGCCTTGAGGAAGCTATCTTGATACAAATGTTATCAATTCTGTCAAATGACTACAGTGTGCATAGATGTTGTAAGATGAGAGAATAGTAAATATGTGATGGCTGTGAATTTGGTAACTGAAGTTTAAAAGGTGTCCATAGATAGAGCTGGGCGTGGTGGCACAGGCCTTTTATCCCAGCACTTGGGAGACAGAGGCAGGTGGATCTCTGTGAGTTCAAGGCCAGCTTGGTCTACACAGTGAGTTCCAGGACAGCTGGGGGGAGGGGGCTACAGGGAGACCCTGTCTCAACCTCCCCCCCAAAAAGGTGTCCATAGATCAAAATTTTTAAAAATCAAGTTAGCAGTGTTTAAAATGATCAACAAAAGAAGAAAACAACCAAACTCAAAATGATGAAATTATCAATCCCACATATTAAGAGGGAGGGCTTGTTTAACATGAATTTGTATGTAAGGATTTCAGTTGATCACAAATGCCTAACTCAGAGCCTGTCCATTGCAAATGTGCAGAGAATATTGGTATTATCCTGGATGAATTCAGAGAGCTGTAGTTGTAATAAATACTGAAAATCAGTATCTCCTAGGTGAATAATTGAAGCTGGATCTATTTTTCTAAGTGATGTTACTAGTTCAAAGATCAGTCACTGTAATTATTTCAAGGCTGTAAATTTTAATGAGTACATGACATATGAATATTGAATTATACTTAGCATGTTAAATATTATATTTGTGTGCAGAATACTTAGAGTAGAATTATAATGACTTACTTTAAAAGTCATTCAGTGTGCAAGTTTTTTTTTAAAAAACTGATTTGTTTTGTCTAATTTAGGTATATTTCATTAAGTAGAGCAGATTTGTAATCTAGCAGAATCTGATTCTGGTCCACTAGAACTGGTGTTTAATGTGTGCTTTTCCCTGGGCTGGTGTAGTCCACTGTTTCTCATGCCCCTGTGAAGTAGAGGGTAAACACACTTTACAGACCCAAATGAGGAACCACTCAAGCAAGCTATTTGTCTCATCTTACCAGTAAAATAGCAGTACCGAAGACTCTTAATTCTAGACTGGCACCAAAGCGTGCATTCCTAACTGCTGTTCTCTACCAGATGCTAGTTACTATTAGTTAATTTTAGAAGTTCTGTTTTTTAAAATATCTTTAGAGTAGCTTTCTTTATAAGTAGAGATTGTAGAGCGTTTTCACAATGTGTTTCCTTTAGAAATGTCATCTAAACATTTCTCCAAGTTAGAAAAATAAAATTTTATCATGCACTGGACATATTTTTTTTTCTTTTTAGGTCAACAACTATGATATCAGCAATGTATCCCATAACTATGCCCGAGCTGTCCTTTCCCAACCCTGCACCACATTGCAGCTAACTGTGTTGCGGGAAAGGCGCTTTGGTAACCGAGCGTCCAGCCACGCTGATGGGAACTCTCCACGGGATGAGGTTTTCCAAGTGGTTCTTTATAAACGGGACTCTGGTGAGCAGCTTGGCATTAAATTGGTTCGAAGGACAGATGAGCCAGGTGTTTTTATTCTTGACCTCCTGGAAGGGGGACTGGCAGCTCAGGATGGCAGGCTCAGCAGCAATGACCGAGTGCTGGCTATCAATGGGCATGACCTGAAGCATGGGACACCGGAGCTTGCTGCCCAGATTATTCAGGTAATGTCCAACATTGAGCCTTGATTTCCACAGTGCAGTGTTTGTTTTCATTGGCACCTAAGAATTCAGGGAACATTGATGTTCCTTGGAAAATCAGGCATGATTACCTAAATTCTTCAAAATCCATAGTACTATAACTTCCTCAAGTTAGTCTTGTTTGGTTTTATTTTTTAAGGCTATGTTTCTGAGGACTTTGGGGCTGTTTATACATCTATTTTTTTTAAATCTCAGGGCTCTACATTGTTAGCCAGACATAGTAATGTCAGTATCTACCTTTAACAAGGATTAGAAGGAACTCAGAAAGAAGTTGTGATTACCAGGGTTGTGACTTGTCATATCTCTTACCTCCACTTCAGAACCCATATAAGTAGAGGAAAAATAACTTTGTATTAATAATTTGTCTCAGTTGGGCATGGTGGTGTTCATGTAGTCCCAAGCACTTTGGGAGGCTGAGGTGAGAGTAGTATTCTTGAGCCCAAGAGTAGTTCAAGGCCAGCCAGGTCGATGTACTGATATCCCTCCTCAAAAATAAATAGATAAAAAAATAACTTTTCTCTGTAGTGCTTTTATTTGTTTGCTTGTTTGTTTAAATAATTTGGCATGTTTTAAACACATTGTAAAATCTTTCCTCCCAGTGTCCCTGTGAAGTAAAAGATAGTCATGTTACCAGGAAAAGCATGAAGATAGGCCAGTTGGGGACTCAGCCAGAGGAGATGTATAGGCTATGCTTCCTAGCATTTAACAATGATTTAACATGCTGTGGTGATGCAGCTGAAACACAAAGGTGTTTTTCTTTATCACAGAAAAATGATATGAAGGCAACCATGCACCAATATAACCAATGGCCACTGAGGCAAGTATGTTTCCAGAATGGAATCAGGTAGCAATAACAATTTAAGACTAAGAAATTCAAACCTCAGTCCTGTCTATTGCATTGAGAGGAGACTTGGGTATAAAATGAGATTTTATAGACTTGAGGTTTAAAGAAATTAGAGGAGTTAAAATACCCCAAAACCAGAAGATGCCAGGCAGCAGCTACAGTGCTGCCTCCCTACTGGGAGGAAAAAGACGAAAGTAATGTTAAGGATTTGTTTGAGGAAATAGTCAGCTACACTTGGTGAAGTAGGAGACATAAGAGGAATGGATTGACTGTGTTTGTGTTCACATACTTACAGGAGATGCTTAAACACTAATTCCTACTCACTGAATTTCTAACTCAAATGTGGAACATGCAAGTAGAGATTTTAAGTTTTTCCTGATAGTGTTTGACTTGACTTTTATAAATAGTGCTTCTATTTTGTGGTATAGGTTTTTTTTTTCCAAACTCTAGAAAACTGAAGTTGCTCAGTTTAAGGTTATTTTAAAAATTACTTAAAGTCTGAGCTGACGAGGTAGCTTTGTGGTTAAGACCACTGGCTGCTCTTGCAGAGTATCTGGGTTCGATTGCCAGTACCCTCGAGGCAGCTAACAGCTGTCTGTAACTCAGTTCCAAAGGATCTGTTGCCTTCTTCTGACCTCCATGGGCATTGCACAACACAGATGCACTTACATACATGCAGGCAATACACCCGTACACATAAACAGTAAATAAAAAAATGTTTAAATGAAGAAACTAAAGTCTTACTGCTTTTGAATTATAAAAGATAACATGGACTGTATCTAAAAAGAAAAATAATAAAGGACATGAAGAAGAAAGTTAAATCACAACCTAAACGCCCCAAGATTTCAGCAGAACATTCCAAACGTCCTTCACATTTGTGTCCACAGAAAGGTAATTACATACATGTACTCATCTTGAAAATTCTGTTTGCATCTTTTCCCTTGTCCATAGTCAGTTGTGGGTACGTAATGAAAGTAAGCACATGCTCACCTAAGTTTTAGGTGTTTTTAGGTGCATGCTGTTTTGGCATGCACCCTGCGTTATTTAGCCATTCTCATTAACAGACTTTGTTGTTTCATTTTTAAATTTAAGACACTTGGCTAAACTTCCTGAAAGCTCATACCAGTTGACTCCCACTGGCAGAATATACCACTCATTCTAAACTGCACATTTTGATTTTTGTGTATTGTTAACTTTTTTTTAATCTTGATTATTTAACAGCAGTTTGGCTGTGTTTAATGCCCATAAGAGTTAAAAACACGATCTGTTTTAGACCATCATAAACCCAAATGTTGGTCTGTTATTTAAATTCTAAATGCACACTCCCATCACATTCACAGAATTTCACCTTTCAAGTGGTCTTCAGTTAATAGGTTTCTATAAGCAGTTTTCAGGTAAAGTTGAAATACTGATTTTTGGTTATACGGTGTTAACAGTAACAAAAATGAGTCAGTATGTTGAAATAAAATCCCAAGTAGCCATTTGACACTTCACACAGTACAGTCTAATAATTATCAGAGTTGTAAGTAGCAGAATTTTAAATATTCTCCCTTGGCATTTACCCTTTAGACTTTGTTGAAGGTTCCAGCTGAATGTTATTCCTTAGGTTATTTTGAAGAGTTTGTCTGCAACTATTTAGTTTAGTAAAATGCCTGAGTAGTAGAAGATTTATAGTACAGCATTAAAATCTTTATTTTTTCTGATATAAGAACTGAAAATAAAGGATTTATTAATCTTTAACTTCAATCGTGGGGAAGGTTTCTGCCTACTGTTCTAATTCCTTAAAGTGGGCTATCAAATTCTCCCGTAGGTATACTAGTAAAATTTGGGATTGTGGTCATGACCAAGAATAAGCATCAAATAAATCAGAACTGTACTTTAAAAAGCAAGGACAAAATAGCTTTTAAATACATGTGAATTTATGCTTAAAATTAAATAGACATCTAAATTTAAAATGTCAACTTATTTTTTTTAAACTTAACTCTTTGCTATAAAATAATTTAACTCCTATGGATATGTGGGGTGGTGTGTCTGTGTCTGTGTGCATGTGTCTGTGTGTGTGTGCTTAAACATCAGAAGTTGGAAAATACTAACTCACGAACTTCCTCTGATACCAGGTAGTCACTGCTCAGCTGATGTTTTGGTGCAGTGATTGAAAAGTACATAGAAAATTACACTGTCCCCAGACATCCTATACTTGAGTCTTGAGGATGAGGAGAGAATCACTATCCTGGGCTACTGAATGAAAATCTCTCAGTGGAGAAAGAAAGAGAATGAATTTCACTACCTGTAATCTTTAAAATGACAAGCCTCATTCATGACAGGTAGTAATGAATGTCTGTTTTCTTCAGGCCAGCGGAGAGAGGGTGAACTTAACAATTGCCAGACCAGGAAAGCCCCAGCCTGGCAATAGCACCCGAGAAGCAGGAACTCACAGCAGCAGCCAGCATCATGCACAGCCACCCTCTCACAGCCGACCAAGCTCACATAAGGTGGGGACCCTCCTTACATAAGGTATATCAAGCTCACATAAGGTATATCACCCTCTAAAAAATCATGGTTACAACCTGATGAGATTCAAGGGTGGGGTTTTGTTTGGTTTGGTTTGGTTTTTTGTTTTGTTTTGTTTCGTTTTGTTTTTGGTCAGGGCCCCCAGCCATTCCCCAGTGCTTCTCCATCTGCTGAATCTAGTCAGCCTATCTAGAGATCCTTGTTTTAGGAAGGTCAGCTGTTCCTCATCTAGCAGCAATCAGTTGTCAATATTCCTTTAGATAAGATTGGGGTCTGTTGTTCATTTTCCCAGTTGTATGCTGGGTTACTGTCTGAGAGTCTTTGGGCCACGCTGGCCAATACCTCAAAGGAAGATACCTCCTGTCTGGCATTGTTTCTTGTTACATAGCCTTTAGGTATACATATGGACTCTTAAAAAATTACATTGACCCCATTAATCTTTGGTTATACTTTTCTTTTGGGTGTTAAGACCCTACAGTTGGCCCAGATAAACCAGTTTATTTTTACTCTTAAGGTTGTTTGAGGATCTGTTCCTCAGGGGTAACATGGGCTTAGGAGGAGCCCCTGGCTCATTTCTTTTACCAATTCCATCTATGTGAAAATAAGTTAATGGTCCTGCTTGACCATGGCTGGCTTTGCTTGGAAGCATGGAGGAAATGTTTCCTCTGTGTTGACCCTCCTCTTTGTAGACTGGACACTGGTTCAGATCCATCTGGTGGGGTCTCCATGGCCTCCTTGATCAAGAGGACAGGTGACTCACCACAGTTACAAGACATTTTCAGAGATGCTCATAGTCCACTGGAACTTAATAGACCTAGGAGGGAAAGGAGCAAAAACTGTCCTTTATGTCCCTCTGTCCAAATTAGTATAGGCCTCATAGTATGGCTGTTAAATATCGAAGAAGGTTAGTTCCACCAGTCTGGTACTTTTAATTACCATGTGCCATGTAGATAGAGCTGGGGCAAAGACCAAATGCTCTCAGATAAACCTTGCCTAGATATATATTACATTCTTTGGTCTGGTTGTATGTATAATATGTCAGTAGGTTGTTTGCCTAATATTGTTCCCTCTTGTTTTTTAAAACTAGCTAGGCATTATTTATCTCTTGCATTGTCTCGCCCTTCCACCATGGTTTCCCCATTTAAGGTGCCCCCGTTTTTCCCATTTCTCCCTTAATAATACCCTTCCCCTGCGGTTCTACCTCTCTTGAGCTCCTTTATCCCCTAGGTTCCTCATATAACCTTCCCTCTCCCCTCCCCTTAAAATAACCCCACTTTTATCCATATCTCCCTTATTAACACCTGTTTCCTACTGTTCTTCAATTTCAGATTCTTTCTTTTCCTTTACTTCCCCGGTTCCTTTTCATTATCCCGGTTCCTATAAGTCTGGGTACATACTCACTTATAAGGATTTGGTGCTAGGATCCACATATGAAGAAGAACATACATCATTTTATTTTGATTTTTTTTTCTGAGTCTGTGTTACTTCGCTTAGTATAACAGTTTCTAGTACCTGAAAATTTCATGATTTCATCTTTCTTTACTGCTGAGTAAAACTCCATCATATAAATGAACCGCATTTTCATTATCCT